CCATATTAACATTCTAAGTTATGTTTATAAATATAGTAAAGTATTTATTACAAAATAAAGAGCCCGCATGAGCATATGAAAATTAACCTTTTCCTAAACTGAAAATGTATTTCCAATAATACTCACCTCTGCCGATACTATAGCTATTTCTTGATCTCCAGGGTTTCCACTCTTTGCTCATCTAAGCATTGAAAATGCTTGCTCCTGTCTTTTATACACCACTTGAATGCCCTTGGCAAATTCTATATTGCAAAATTGTCCACCAACTTCAATGCACCCTCTATCTAGGTACTGTTTATAAGCACCTCATTCAGGTAATGTAATCACTTTTTCAAGACATAAATTGGCTTTAAGTGGGAAGGTAGGGCAGGAGAGTGTCAGTGGAGGTAAGTATTATTGGAAATACATTTTCAGTTTATGAAAATGATAACTTCCAAAACATACTTACCTCTGCTGACACTATAGCTAGAATCCCACATTGAGAAGGTGGAGAGGCCGGTGCAGGCGTGAACCATACAGAAAGCAACTGTATAGAACAGGAATGTACCAAGATAAAGATGGCACAAGAGTGAGGTAACCACACTACATCCAGAAAAGGTATGCTCTTCACCTTGAACTCAGTTCCTATATCAAAGGTGGAATAGAATATGAGTAATCAACCGTATAGGCCAGCCCCAACCATATAGTCGAGATTCCACAACTCGGGGTTGGAATTAAGTAGTCTTGGTTCCTATATCCCCCATTGGTGGCTAGGGCTATTGGACCGCAATGTTATATATGTATATACACTTTTGATTGGATTCCAATCTGTAGCTATAGAGTGATGCATTTTGCACAACTGGAATCACAATGAGAAAGTAAGCAACACTGAAGTGGATAAACTTTCTCTTCCACCTGAAAAAGTCAAAAAGGCAACACCCTTGGTTCAGAAACACAGGATCATGTATGCCGTACTCAACCAAATGAACAGAACTCATCCGGGCTGGAATTTTGAACATTCATCCTCATTCCCAACCCAGGGGGCAAGGAATATTTTTCTTGCCCCTGGAATTATGGAGAGGACGTGGAACCTGTACTCAACCAAGGACCTAGGATGGGACCACTTTGCATTTGGAATAATGAGGAGATAGTGGACATTCTTCCATGAAAAATATACGAAACCAACATTTATCAAAGAGAAGGGCCACACATCCCCCACCCAGATAGCTTCATGTCAAATCTGAACCAGAATTACGAGTAGGCTCCTGCGAAGGTTGGTGCCACTCCTACTGACACCTTGGACTCGAGTAGGAGGGTCCCCAACTTCGCCCTCTTCTCCAAGAGTGGAGGAACACACTCAAACACTCTGGAGGAAAAGCCTCTGTCTGCCACCCCAGTGGTTAGAAACTGGATGTGATAAGGACTCCTGAGTTCAACTAATAAAGTCTGGGGGGGTAATACGAGTCCTGAGTCTTACTGGTTCTTGCCTCAGAACATGGTGAGCAAGCCTATCTTTTTCTTGCTCTTACTTTCTGTGACTTGCATCCTAATATTTCATTTTCTTTCTCAAACTTTCAGACTTTCTTCATGATAAGTCATTTCTCCATTTTGCAATATTTGGAATTGTGATTTTCAATGTTATTGATCACTTTATATTTATACTGAAGTAAAAAAAATACTTGTGTAACTTACAAAGATCCAGTTACTACACATTCCTGCAAATTTGTATGCAACAAACTGTACAAATGGTCTTGTGGTTCCTTCGGTTACAGAACAATTCAATTCATAGCTCACGCTTAGATTCTTCAGCAGAAATGCCACTTTTCTTCTGAAATATAACAATGATTCTCCAATACGAAGACTCACTTTTAAATTCTGCATTAAACTCACTTTAGCAGAATTTTATAAGTTTTATTTTAAACATTAATTTTGTTGATAATAATAAATGTACAAAATTAACGTACACTATTAAAAAGGAAAGAAGTACCATTTCTCCATTACAGAAGCAATTTAGGAAAAAATGTTATAAAATAAGTTGTTTTTATTTTAGCAAGGGTCTATTTTATAAAATTTTTCATTTTGGTGTGATATAAAGCTGTATATTGACTTATTTCTTAAAAAAGTGGACACTACAATCTACACCCTTACTAGTTACTAATAATATACACTACCAAAATACGTCTTTCATTTCATACTACTGATAGAACTGATTCGGCCACGTTAAAAGTTGCACAGAGATGCAGAAAAAGTGTCTAAATTATTATTATTATAATATAAATCTCAATCTGATTGTTACTTGTTACTGTATTAACAATAACACTTCTATTATTACTAAGTATTAGTATTACTTAGGCCTACTCACTTGGGCCAGGAGGCAAAAAGACATTACAGATATGACATATTTCCTGATTCATATTTGTGTTATCGTTTAAACCTTCACTTCAATAGAAAGTTTATAAATCAGGTAACGCCAGCTTTAAAATTTCTAGCCTAGAGTTAGGCTTATTTTTGTTGTTCCAATTGCTAGACTCACGTTTACCTAACACTTACACAACCCCGCCAGTCTATCATATTATTGACACAAAAATATTAGTATATTCATTAGTGGAAGTGTTAGCGCATGTGCTTTACTCGTGTATTTTAATTGTTATTAAACATATCAAAAAATCAAATACACTCTATACACACATTTTAAAAAGAGGATAAAAGTTATGAAAAATTCAGATGATAAAGAAAGAATTTGCTACTAACATTAATATATAATTTTTTATTTAAGGTTTCTACAGATATCTGCCTATCTTAAATTTGTATTTTATGTTTGTTTTCAATAATATATCTAATTAACCGTAAATGTATATGTATTTTTGTATGCATGTGTGTAGGTGTACGTGTGCGGATTAACAACTATGTCAATGTGCCAACAATATCAGAAGATTCAAATTTTCACATGCTAATCAAAGTATGGGAACAATTTATCCCGAGAAGAGACGAGCTGTGACTTTTTCTGAGACCCTGTTTTAATATAGAATATTTATAAGCCTCCTTCTGGTATCATTCATAACCTGGAAAATGTCTAATGGAACAGAAACCATTTATCTTAGAAATATTATGTGATTTCGAAACCTGTTCCTCAGCTGGCGTTCCAAACATCCCAATTGAATTCCACTAGGGGCTCTGTGCTGGCCAAAGCAGATGCTAAATATTATTTGTTACAATCCATTACTGGATTCAGTGCATGATAGGACATGATGCATTATCGTACTGAAAGGCGAGTGATTCCCAGTGGCGTAGCTGTCCAAGTATTTCCAGTGGTTGTCCTTTCAAGCTTGTTGCCAGATATACTGCTTTTTGCTCCTCTGTCCATCCGTTCATCTCTGCCAGTAGCTCAAATTGTGCTCTATATGCTTCCCACGGTGCTTTCCCCATCGTATTCCTGTGGCTTCCTTCTTACTGAATCAGTTCTATTACTGACATTCATATCTGGGATGTGACTTCTAACAGGACTGAAGATGTCTGCATTAGGGTTTAGCTGCGGGCTCTGGAAGGGGCTTGCCATTGTCTGGGACTGATTAAGTCGATGGTCAATGTATCCTCCTTGTGTAAAAGACAATAGATCGT